GGTGTTACCCCTCCAGTTGGCGGTGGCCCTGGCACACTGAAACTTTTCAACGGATGACCACGCTTAGAACTCTCAATAGTTGAAACGCCGCCATTGCTGGCTGCGCCGCCGCCAGGGCCGGCACCACCACCACCGCCGCCATTTGGATAGCCAGGATTGCTGTAAGAAAGTATTTCGATTATAGGAATATAAATAATAAATAGGATAAAGCCTAAAATTGCATTAAAAATCACCACTTTTCACTTAAATATAATTTTATTGAAATTTTTTAAAACAAAAATTTCGCTTACATTGATTAAAATACAAAACATTGTGAAGTATAATAAGCACAATAGCAAATATAGAGACGCACATATGAACACACCAAATGCAACCAATTCATTGACAAAGAGTGTACAATAACAAACATAAATTTAGCACAAAATTTTGCTCTCCCCTCCATCCGAACAAACACTGCCGGTGTCTGCAGCATTGCCATCGCCATCACAGGTGCTACTACTTATTGACGTATTTGATGACCGCGTTGTATCCTTTTGCGATTTGGTTCGATTTTGTGGTGGCAACAAAAAGTCGCACTGTACCGGACTCCTGCGTTTTCTACGCCTGCGCGCATATAAATTAGAACGCCGCCGTCGACCACGCAACCGCTTCAGTTTACGCTGCTCCAGTGCAATACTCCTATAGGGCTGCTTTTGTTCATCTGACATTGCATTCCATAAGCGCCCTGCCGTTTTTGCGAGGCGTGTACTCTCGCGTGGTGACATCGGACCACAGCCTGGCCGTGTGAGTTCCCCACCACTGGCCTTCATGCGTACTTCGGCAAGAAAATTAAAGAATGGATTTGGTGAGGCCGAAAGTTTCGTGTGACGTATAATTTCGCGATGCAATGTGCTGGGGCTGAACGAGACGCGCGTTTTGCGACGGGACGGCCGAACAAGCGTCGAGAAAACTTCACATATTTTCTCCCAGATGGCTGACATAACGATTCCTTTGGAAGTGCTGGTTTATAATTTGGATGGGGAATATCAGAAATCTCAATACAACGACTTTTTTCGAAACGAACAAATACAAACAAAAAAAAATTTGATGTTACACTGAAATTTCGCCTGCCGATGAAAATTTTTATTTTTTATTTAGACATTGAAATAAAATTGAAATATTTTCCATAAAACACTTGGTTGCTAATTATCTTCCACAGCTTATGTTTTCAACACGAAAATGGGCGTTTGTTTCGCACTCGCCAAATGAATTAATAGTTGGTAATTAATTTTTTTACTAAGCGATAAGTGATGTTTTTAGAGAATCTCATGCGATTAGCTAAGTTATTAGCTGCTAATGTACTTTTCATAAATATGTTTCGAGTGGTAGATCGTAGATCACTTACCAGAAATTTCCCTCATACCCGTAGGGATGCTCAGGTGTTTGTGCCAAAGAGCCTGACTGTTGCGTCAAACTCTGCTGCGAGTGACCCGTGTCGACGGTCATATGTGAGCGGTTGGCTGAAATATTATATTGCGTGCGTGGATATTGGGGTCGCTCCATGGTGGAATTCATCGATGTGGCTAAGTGTGGTAAAAAAAAAGAATAATTCCGTAAATAAAAAACATGTTCAATTATGCTTCGACTTGCAGCGACTTACTCAGATAGCCAGGTACATACGAGCGTTTATCTAATGAATTTGTAACCGGCACAGGCGTGTCTACATCGTACTCGTGCACCACGGAGCGTGGCAATGTTAAGGCACCGCTACTCGAAGCACCATCACTACAAACTATAATTGGGAGATGTATGTATGTATGTTTTGCCATCTAACATTTACCAAAAACATTTGTTTTTTTTTTAGCTACACTGCTTCAACTCACCTGGCGTTGTGCTGTGTATATTCTTATCTATATTCTTCAGCTCCATTTGATCGTGGTGTATCCATAGATCTGGCGGTTTTGGCACTCCCACATTTTGGTAGCTACTTAAAAAATATTAAAATTGGTTAGAAACATTTTTGTCAGCTCAAGAAATTCAATTAGTAAAAATAGCGTACTCACTCTTCGTACCTCTTCTTGTTGTGATCGGGTGTGGATTGGGGCTTGCGTCGACACACAACCACCATTATTACCGCGAAAACGATTACCACTAATATAACTACACCCACCACCGAATACAGTACGATTTCATTGCTGATACCCTTTGCAATGGGTTTCGGTTCCTGCATCACCACAGTCGCCGACGTCGTATAGGCTACAAGCGCTGAGAAGGGCGCATTACTGGCGCCTTTTCCTACGCGCGCCTGCACTTTGAAATAGTAAGTGGTATAGGGTTTCAAATTGGGCAGCATCATCATTGTCTCATCGCCTGCGAATGCCTCAATGGACCAGTCGCGGTCGCGTTTCGTTGTGTCTGTGGTGTAATAAATGTTGTAGCCGGTTATTTGACCCAGACTGTGTTTGGGTGGCAGCCATTGTAGTATGACATTTTGCGGATTCTGCTCATCCGGTCGTACTGTTAGCTCACGCGGCGGCGTGATTGGCACATTTTGATAAGTGCTGTTCAATACCGACATAGACCATGCGGACTCACGGCGTCCTTTCACAACTTTAACAGCAAACTCGTACTGCGTATTTGGTCGGAGATCGTTGATCATGCAATTCAAGTCGGTGGTGTTGTGGTAGCGATAACGACTAGAACCTGAGATGCCATAGCGCACGGTATAGTGACGATTATCGATGACATGCTGGTTCTTGCTCAGCGTGGTGTCTATCCAGTAGACGACTATCGATGAGCTGGACATGGTAATGGCTCTGAGGCCTACAGGTACTTCAAGCGGCACGGGTATGTCGAGTGGTTCCTCGTCACGCGTTTTAATGTTGTCATAAATCGGTGGACCGTCGCCTTTGACATTCCGCGCACGCAGCGATACCACATACTCTGTATTTGATTCTAGATTTTTCAGTACATAATAGCGTTCCGATTCTTTCAATTCGATTGAGTTCTCATCAGGTATTCCACGACCCCAACCGAGCACATAGCTACGTATTTTGATTTCATGCTGCTGTGGTGGGCCCCAATGCAACGCAATGTTATCGCCACCAGGATGTATGCCAATCCAAACGGGTTTGCCAGGCACCTGCGTCTCGTCCAAATCGTTTTCGAGCGTCATGACACGATTCCACTCGGTAAAGGGGCCCGAGCCATTCACGGTCATAGCGGCAATTTTTATTTGGTACTCAGAGTGACGTTCCAAGCCGTTTAGTTCGAAGTAGCGTATGTTTGCTGGCGTACTCTTCACTTGTGGCGTATCTTTTAGTTTTCTGTAGCGAATTTTATAGCCTGTGATTTGACCGTTGCGCTCCTCTTCAGCTGGTGGCTCCCAGTGTACTGTAACAGACTGCGGGCGGATGAACAACAATTAGGTAGTGAAGGGGAAAGTTACTTATGAGACATAAAGCTATATATATATACATATATGTATGTATAGTATACGAAGAAGGATACCATAAATATTATGTAGCATAAAACTAAATACAAAATACAACAATAATATAGCTCAACATAACATAACAGCATAATATGACACAATAAAACATAACGTAGAATAACACCAGAAACATAAAAAAAAAAATCGAATTCTCCAAAACTCACCGTTGAACTTGTTACTTCCAGCGTCACATTATTCGGGGTTCTGTGGGTGTGGATGAGTAAGTCTTAACTTTATCTCATTTGATGGGTCACCCATGCCATTCTTGTTAGAAGGGCACCACAGCAATGGTGTATTCGGTATAAGGACGCAACTCGGAGAGCAAAACACTCAGAGACGTGCTATCTTGATACATTTCAGCGCCGCTGTCATTCTGAAAAAAAAAAAACGATACAAAATAAAAATTAAGTATTCTACAAGCTCATATCGATGCATCGGGATCGACGCCATACCTCAGAATAGTATATACGATACTTCAATATATCGCCATTGGTTACTGTGGGAGGATCCCATTTAACGAAAATCTCTCTTTCGCTTGTCGCATGCCCATCAACGTTGCGTGGCGGACCAGCAATATTTTCCTCCGGTTGAGTGAGTACTTCCAAAACCTTTCAACGTAAAAAACCGATTATTTTTAATATTAAAGCAGTTAAAATTTAAAGATTTACCTCAGAAGAGTCACCGGGTCCAAAGTTGGCATTGGCCACTACACGGAACTGATATGTTTTTCCAGGCAACAAGTTTTGTATATTCACCTGTTGGTCATCATGAGATTTGGTGACGATTTTTTGTTCGCTAAATATTACAGAAATAAAGAGAATTAGTGAATATATAAAGTAGAGACTTTACGGTGAAATATTATTTGTTGTAGTAATCATGTAGCGTAGTTAAAAAATAAGGAGCCTTGACCCATTCTATTCGATTCTATTTGAAACCATGTCATTTGGAGAGCTTTTCCAAGTAGCTGAATATTGAAATTAAATGCTTAAGGAAAGCGTTTGTTTGTTTGTCGCCTACTCAAGTCAGTCGCGTCGACATCCTAAGGCCTACCCATCGGCACGGAGTAGCTCAAAGACAATGCGGAAGATGTCTGCTTTCCACTATGCTTGACTAGCTCCTTCTGCACATCACCACACGCCATTAACTCTGCACAGTAGCTAAATAAATATATGCAAAGTCATTGCGCCAAATACAGAAACAATGCGAAGGCGCGCGATTAAAGGAAGAGCAGTAAATAGCTATTGCCAAAATAAGGAAATTCTACTTGGCAATTTGCAAAAGATGTTTTCAAATTAAATTATTGAATTGACAGTGGTGCCGTCGAAGTAGTAGACAGACTTCGCGCGACTTCCGTTGTTGGCGTCTATGCGAGGCATCCAGCAAATTACTGTGATTTAGTTGTGAGGGAGAGCAAATGAGAAGGTCCTTACACAATTCTTAAGAGAATGGTTGCAGTTAAAACGAAATGGCGTCAACAATTTGTTTTTAATATGAATTCTCACTTTTTGTCTTTGCATAGCAGAAAATGTATTACTTTATTGGTTTTCTGTTTGCCAATTGGAAAGACTTTGTAGAAAAATGGAAAACCAATAAATTGGTAATGTCGCACAAGGAACATAATAGTCTGTGTTGATGCGCTCGGGAAGCTTACGGCTGACATCAGCGTCATTGAAGAAATGCGATGGCCGGGCCAAGACAAAAAAAAAGTGAGTCTTTGCAACGTCTACTACAGCTGCCATGTAAAGGAACGGCAATTCAATGATGAATTTTTGGTGGTAAAGAGACTTCGTCGACACATATTGTTGTTCACCTACATGGACGAGCGTCTTGCCAAAGCTGAATTCCACTGGACTTAAACGTAAAGGCCACACCAAGCAGTAAAAAAAATAATGTTTTACTTGAGGCTTATAAATATCCTACAATAATCCATTCGGCTTACACAGCACTAGTAGGTGCATCTTTCTTTATGGTACTCTTGTGTGGTGGACTGCAAAAAGAAATTCTATGTAACTACCCGAAAAGATACTCAGCATACTACCGATCGACTTTGCTGAAGAAAACTTTGCGATCAAATCCACAGGACTTCTGATGGCGACTTTCTAAAAAAAAAGCTACGATCAGAGAGCCGAAGTGGACTACTTGGCCCCACGCTTCAAATTGGGAAAGTTGATCTGGACTGCTGTCGAAAAGCTTTTCGAAAATGAAGAATGTCGAAAAGCTTTTCGAAGGAAGGACCAAAGGCACGCCAAAGGACACGAAATAGTGGATAAGATGGTCAAAAGCGCAATTCATTTAGCAATTGTACAAGAAAACTACGGGTACTTGTATAAATTTAAAATGTTGGAAAAAGTATGTTTTTTTTTTGTAACCAGGGTAGTTCCGAAGATACAAATTAATCATTCTGTCATCTTGAGACGTAGATTAGGTTAGGTTAGGCTGCCCCGCGCGAGCGTAAAGAATGACTAACTGATTTTTGAAATAATGATGGATGTACATTTGTTGTTGAGATGGAGGGTAACGAAAATATCATGGAAAGGCAGTCATTTACGCTTTGGACGGACTGTTATTTTTTCTGACTAATCGACACTTAACGAGTACCTCTAGACAGGATTAGGAACCAAAGCTCTCTCATAAAAACTACTGACTAATTACTTGTTGATATTTTTCAGCAGAGTATCGAGATATCACTTCAGTGCAAGTTTCTTTTTTTTTTAAATAACTTGCATCCATTACCATTCCAACTCAATCACATACGCTATTAGGTTTTGATCAAAAATTCACTTACCGTTCACTGTTGTTCATCTTGTAAAACACTGTGTAGGACACAACTTCGACTGGGTTCTTCATCGGTTCCATCCAACTGAGCGTCACAAAGCGTGGCTTCACAATTTGCGCAACCAAATCACGTGGCGGACTCGGCAAACGATTCAGCAAAGCACCATTTATATGCGTAACACCACCGACGGTTTGAAGAATACCACCAGCTGCGTCTGTCCTGGCTACACCAGTAATGCCTATGTCAGCTTCGAGTCCATCTAAATCTGAGGATAAGTAGGAGGAACTTGATGACGCCGCTTGTGAATTGGATGTGGCTGAGGATATTTGTTTTTTATTTTTATTCTTCCAAGAGTTCAGTACTTTGTTGGGATCGTCACCGTGCTTGTAAGCGTCAATGAACTCCTGATTGTCTTTCAAATCGTCGTAATCGTCTTCGTCATCATCACCATCTTCCTGGTTAACGTCGTCACCGTTAAATTCATGCGTACTTGTCGGCAATTCCAACGAACTGTCCGTATCTTCCATGTCCATGTCCAACTGTTCGATGTGTTTCAGTGAGGCAAATTCACCATAGCTATTGTCATTTTGTGGTCTCTCTGGCCTTGGCAATTTACGGCCTCTCTGTGAGAGTAAACTGTCCAGTGCGCTTTTGGAGAGACTACGTGTTGACGAAACCATGGCCGTGTCTATGGCATCACCGAATGTGTCAAAATGATCAATTGATTTAGTATGTCCATCTAAAGAGGCGGCGCCGCCACCACCTTTGCGTCGACGCATAGGTGAAGCTGATGGTAGTGGTCGAGATTTGGGCGTTTTGGAAGGGGATGGGCGGTAATATTTAGATTTGCCTTTGGGGATAGGAAGGGAGGAATGATGGGAGAGTGGTGTATGATGTTTGAAAAAATGTTGCGTGTCATGATGGGAAGTGGGGGAAAATAAAGTAAAAATAAAAAAGGAAACCAAAATAAAGAAATTAGTTTTTGAAAATATGAAAGTAACATAATTTTTAAAATATAATAACTATGTATTTTATAACTTCACAAAATCAAATTAAAAAAAATATCAAATATGAATCAGTATTTTGTATAATCGCACTGATCAGAAATACATACATACATCGAAAGCAAATTTTATTTATGAACATAAATTAGGCTGAAATAAGAATTAAGCGATAAGGGTAATACAATTAACCGAAAATTGTTATGAGCGGGAGACATCTGCTGTAGTTATAGGCACGAATCTGTTAGAATAGAACGCTTATTTTTATAATTACACAATTTAATACTGATTACAACAGGTGACTTAGTAAATGTCGTATTTTAATTTTTTTTATGAATCCATTATCTATATGCTGTTTTTAGGTAAAAAAAAGACAAAAAACCAAATTTTCACATTGTTCACAAGGTTAATTTTTATTCAATGTGGACTTACAAATTACCTTCAAAAGTAGCATTTTTGATATTTTTTGGCTTAAGAAGGATGTAATGAACTCTTAAAATAGTTTTTCAATTCCTGCGAATGTATTGTTTTGCTGTTACGTGCTACTGTTACTGTTACGTGAAGCAAAACTGGAATTGAGTGGACGATATCCCACAAACGATCCAACAATTTTTGGTTTTCATAAAACAAGACAATCTCAGCACGATATCGTCCAGACGATTGTCGTCAAAACGCTGATGCATGCATTGTATAGTAGAGGTTTTTTCTTTGTTTCAAAACATAATCCGATCTGAGGTGTCTCCTCATTTGCGATGCTTCCACTCTTTTATATTAAAATGAAATAAACTGTAAAACTGCATACCAAAAATAGTCCAAGAAATTCTAACTAAAAATCTTGGAATTTGGATGAAATTTGTGTGGATATTTTCTAATTTTTGTCCAAAGTTTGAAATTTGGATTTATTATAAGCTTTTATTATGTTTCACCTGTGTGTAATCAAATCTTGCAATAAATTTTTAACCGATGAACTAGAGACTTGAAACTTTAAACTTAGCTCAGAACCCGGGTGTTGAGATATTTGGAAAACCCGTATTTATAGTTCGATATGGTTCAAATTTGAAATGTTTATTACCGACCCCGTTAGGTGGTGCGGGGGTTGATTTTTTTACTAACCGCTAATAAAAGCTTGTCTTAAAAAAAATGTTTTGCAAATTACTTGTTATTTTATTGTTGGATAATGAGCTATACTTTTACAATAAAATAATGAACATTAAAGAAACAAAAGAAAAATAATCAAAAGAGGTCAAAATATTGAGAGAATTAAAAGACAGCGGCTCCACTGCCTTCATCAAGACCTGAATTTCAGGTTATAAATAAGATTTTCAACACAATTTTTTGAAATGCGCGATTGACAACTGTACTTAAAAATTGCATGTCTTTTTTATTTTGTAATACCGTGGTACATAATTCACTAAGGGGTTCTGTTAATGTTTGGGATTTTTTAGTTTTGTTAAAACCGAACGCCGTATTGCTGGCTTTTATTAAAGCCGCGAATGAAAATGTTTTCAGTTAAGTGGTACAAGCACCCTTTACACAAAGCAACTAAAAATTAATTTAAGTAATACAACATAAAAAATTAATTAGGCGTCCAACGATTATTCGTTATTTAAGCTTGTTAGAGGGTATAGGTATGTAGTTAGTAGTCTCATTGGGTTAGCGTTATAATTGAAGCCAGTTGCGTTTACGTCCAATTCACAGAGCTTCTCAATACAAAAAAGCTTAATTTTGTTGGCTAAAAGCGTTTCGTATTTTACATTAGTAGATACACAGAGGTACGGTAACTTGGTTAGCTTCTCATTATTTACAAATAGATTTTCTGGACATTAACGGGTTTTTTACTCACCCGCTTGAACAACACGCAGCCGCGCCGCCGCTTGCACACTGCCCGCCGGATTCGTGCCGACGCACTGGAACATGCCAGCGTCGGACTGCAGCAGACCAAAAATGCGCAGATTGTGACCTGCAACCAACTGCATGTAAGTGTTGGGCGTGATCACATCACCGTTCTTCAACCACTGGATCAGCGGCTTCGGCTTGCCGCGTATCGCACATTCCAACTCTAATTCTTCCTTTTCGTGAGCGGTCTTGTCCTTCGGACTCTTAATGAACTTAGGCGGCACCAACACTTGCACAGTGGCTTGCGCATCGAGTGAGTCGACTTTATTGCTTGCACGACACTGATAGTTGCCCGAGTCGGTGTCTTCGGCAGAGGAAATTTGCAGCGAACCCGTACCGATGATGGAGAATTGCGAATCCAGGTCATTGAGATCCAGCTCCTCGCCATTGCGCAGCCACTTAATCTGCGGCTTAGGTACACCGTTCGCCACACAGTCGAGCGTAACGCTATCGCCCTCTTTTACGGTTTTCGGTGAGGGACCCACCAGAAATGATGGCGCTACTAGGGTTTCGCCACCCGGATCTGTCATCTTTTTGATGTTCAAGCTTGTCTTGCTGCTCAAACGCGACACGCTGCCCGATGTCACGTTGCACTGATAGGCGCCGCGATCGCCAATGCCCACCTCATCGATCTCCAAAGCGCCATTTGGCAGCACGACCATACGCAACTTGTCCAACACGAGCGGTATATCGTCTTTGAGCCATTGCACGGCGTGCTTGATGCCTGGCTGAACTTGACCGATCATACAGCGAAAGTAGGCCGTCTGACCGGGCAGCAGATACGTTTCGATAAAGTCTTGATTTAGATCAGGCAAACGCGCTATCGACACGATTGCCGCGCGACTTACAATGCTGCCAATGCCATCAGCGCTTAGTAGACACTGATAGGAGCCGGTCAAGCCGCGATTCTCCTCAACTGAACTTATGTATAACGAACCGTTATTTAACTGCGTGCGAAATGTGTCACCCACTATACCCAAATCCTGTCCATCTGGTCCACGCCAACGTATATTCGGTAACAATTTCGCTGTTTTGCCGATTTGTGCTGTGCCGCCACACTGCAGCAGCACTGAATGTCCCTCCGGCACGACCACATCCTGCGGCTCAATTGTAAAGGTGAGCGCTGTAAGAAAACAAAAAGAAAACGAAAAGCTGAATCAGTCAGTAGTCGTAAAAATGGCACAAAAGGCATTTGCATAATGATATGATCTGGTAGCAAATGAATTGCAGCGAATGAAATATACTTAGTATAAAGGATGAAAGAATCTGTGGCACATATGTCAGCATGGCAGAGTCATGATTTATAAATGATTCCATTCATTCATTCATTCATTCATGCATGTACATATGCAGTCATATGAAAGCCAATTGCACGTGCAACAACAACAAGGGAGCGATGAAAGCCTAGCCTAGCTGGCTGGCCGGGTGGCTGTTCGCTTGCGGCTTCATTATGCCACTCAATGCGTGCCGGCGCCACGGTAGACCCCAACGGACTGGTTCTTGAGCACATACATACATACATATGCATACAAACACACACATACAGCTACAGGCGGTGGTTTTGTACATAAAAGAAACCCTGACCCCAATTATTTCCATTTGCTTTTGCTGCTGCACTCACTCAAGTTGTCCTGCGTTGGGGGTGGGGGTGCGAGTGCGTCTCATTTCAATGACTCGGCGTTCGGTTGCTTGTTGTTGCCATTGCGGCAATCTGCCAGCTTGTAAACATGATGAAACAATTGCCGCAATACAATCTCGAGTAAGGCAGGAGTTTGGGGAGCTGTTGGCAGCAGGAGTAATAACTTTCGCAGATATTTGCAAGTCCTTAACGCATTGTTGTCCTTTGTTTGAGGTATGTTTTGTTTTAACGCCCGGAAGATGAGTGCAGTTGACATATTTTCCGAGTGTTTCTGCTAAAGAGCGCACAATTCTTAGATAGAGATGTATGTGTAAGTGTAAGTATGTATGTATGTGTATTTGTATGTACTAAAACAGGCTCTGGCGATGATAAACTATAGTAAGAAAGACTCGCTTGGTGCTGAACACGCTTCCTTAACATGGCCGAGATCGGTGCTTGTTTAACAAACCCTAACCAAGAGGATCCCTTCTGGATAGATATTTCAAAAATGAATCTACTTATCAGCTCCTGGAATGACCATAATATGCAAAATACTGACTCGATTAATTAGATAAATTTATTCAACAACGCCAAGGAAATTTCGCACAAGGATAACCATCCTTCCGCTGGATACATTTCCTCAAATAGAATCCAGACTGGTCTGGTCTACTTAAATAAGATTCAGCCGATTTCAGCAAGCAAAGTTCGAGTATTGTCTTGTTGTCTAGCGCTTACCGGGTTTGCCTATCTGTTGTTTCATTAACTGTAAACCGTCTGTCCAAAACAAGCGAATGTGCCACAATAAAAAATATAGTCGCTATGTATGTCTAACCATGGACTCAGTACATAGTAAGCGCTTTAAGCGCCATTTTTATAGGAATTCCGTGGAACCTCTGATATTATTTACTGTCACGATTAGTTGGTATCTTGATCTTGTTAATGAATCTACTTTTGGAAGTCTCCATAAACATTTAGAGGATATTTTATTGTTCGCTGATAAAGAAAAACTCGACGATTTCTTAGATGGTTGTAGTTCCTGAGTTTCGTTCCATTCCTAGAGACCAGCAAGATGCGCCTAGAAAAAAGAGGATCGTCAAAGGCCGGAGTCTCTCTCTCACTCTTCCGTCTTTTGCATGCGGAAGTGAAGGCGGATGTTTCTACCTACTTTGAAACTTAAAACTCCAGGAAATATCCGAGAAGTATGATGCTTTAAGTACCAATAAACTTTGTTAATGAAAAAAAGTGCTTGTTAGAGAAGCCTAAATCTGTCATTTCCAAATACACCAAATTTTATGAGATGCTGAGGCAATCTAATATCCTCCCAGTACGGCATAGCTCAACCAATTACTTCAGAAAAAGTAATTTATTTCTACTTACTTATGTAGCAACTAACTTCAAATTGATGTATAATCACCTAGCAGCCTCCTTGATATAAACCAAAGGTTTACACTGAGAGAAAAATCAATCAAAAATTGGTTGACATTACCAAATTTAAACTTAAAAAGGAATCAACGCGATTTTCGGTTAATATGTATTAACAATGCCTTGGTTGATATTTTCAACAATGATTTGGTAATATTGACCACAATTTTGTTTACATTAACCAAACTTTTGGTTGGCGATTTTTTCGTTTGAACACGCTTATGTTCTGCACTGCGCAGATGCTTTCTCATAATTCGGACATACAAAGCAAACATTTTTATAATCATTTTAACACGTTGCCTCTGACGGGATTAGCAAATAACAGCAAGCATATCTACACACTCAGCTACAACCGCTTTATAAATTTGTCTTTAAATGTTCAACTTGAATCACTTTTCTTCGTCGTTTAATTCGGTTATGCAATTTACAGATGCTTTTTCGTAATAAAGAAAAACAAAAGAACAGAAAAAAAAACAAAAATTATGAGTTGCCGCTGACAGCATTCGTACTCGAACCTGCTGGAAGCCAACAAATAACATGAAAAAATCAAACAAAAACTCGGTTGAAAAAACCATTATACTTTTGGCGCAGTATACACTTTTGATATCATTGCAAATGCATAATTCAATATTAGTTGAAAAATCATCTAACTTTGGGCAATTAAACTATCTCAGCATTTAAAACTAAGTAATTTGAAATAGGTTGAAAAAACAACTGCAAAAGAAACATACAGACTTTTAAGTGCTCTAAGCCAAATGCATTTTAAAGTAATTGATATCAAATGCAGAGTCGGATGGATAATTGACAGCTTTCTAGGACATCGCTATGTTAAAGTCAACAGTTCGTTCCAAGGAAGAAAATCAGATCTCCAACTAGTTGTGGTGGGTAAAAAACTGGTTGAACATCAATATTTAAACTAGTTTCTTTCCGTACTGGGCTTGTATACATACACACACATATATGAATGCGTGCATGTGGGTATAAATATGCAGTTATAAATATGTATATAAAGATTGCATACATATTTTCCTATAAAAAAACGAATATGCAAAATTGTTTGCAGTGACTCCGTTGAACTGTACAACCCCTTCAAAGTCATACACAACAACAGCAACTTCCCATTGCCACAGTTAGCTGAGAGTGCAACACTTTATATTCAAATTAGCCGTACATACATACATACGTACGTTGCAAGGAGGCAGAGAAAAACTCAAACTTACAGAAATCGCTAAGTCACCAATGATGACGTTAAGCAGACTCTTTGGCACGGTTGCCACTTGTTATAAAAATAAGCAACCAAAATCTGAAGAAAAAACAACCGAATTGAAAAAAAAATCAACCAAATTAGTTATCACTTATCAATTACAAAAAGCAGAATTTATTTAAAAAAAAAAACAAAAATTCAACAATTTTATTGAGTTTGATGCCGGTTTTTTTAATGAAAATTTTGTGAAAAAACAACATTAATTTACATTTTGGTAGAAGTTATAGCTGCTATTTCGGAAGTCACATATTTACTTTGTGCCTTTGAGTGGTCCAATTTTTGAGGGCGGAAAAAATTTTCTTCCTAGAAAACGGGACACCCCTCGGAGTTTTCCTTTTGATATATGTAATATATCAACTTTCAGTTTTGTACTCTAACCAATACAGGGTGCTCAATGACCTTGAAATGCGCTACAGGATCGCTGTGAAACTGACAAAAGTATTGGTGATTTTTTTTTAAATAATTTAAAATTGAAATGTTCTTAGGTTTCTTAACTAATTGCTTTATTAATATGTTTATGTACTCAATACTTCTAGAGTCCAATATGAGCACCTTTTTCGGCAAGAGGAAAAATTTTGGAAGGTGCCCCAAGCCCTATCTCGAATTTTTTTTTTTTTTTTGGACCACTATAATGTGCATATCAAAACATGTTACATTAAAAATAGTAATTTGAAAAATTCATTTATTCATTTTAGGCATTCAGTATGCTATAATACTTTTTGTAAAGAAAAAACCAAACCAGAGGAAGAACTACCCAACAACAAAATTAGAAAAAAATAAAAGAAAAACAACCAAGTTTGGTTGGAAACAACCAACAGTGGCAACCCTTCTCTTTGGTTATGTTAAAAAAAAATGAAGAGAGAGAGAGAGAGAGAGAGAGAGAGAGAGAGAGAGAGAGAGAGAAGTTATTATGCCGCTGGTTACTTTTCATTAAAGCTGTTTATTTGAAAATGTTGATCCCAATTATGTAGTTAGTTCTAACAAAAAGGGCTTTTAGCTTAATTATTGTTTTGTGGTGTGTGAGACTATGCTCGGAAAATAGGGGCTGTAAAGGAAATCAACCACATATGTATGTTTATATGTATATATTTATTTACTCTTGTATTAAAAGATGTTTGGCAAACTTTCGAGTTGAAACGTACATATTAGACCGTAACGCAAAAAAAAAGTTCGTTGAGTCTGAGTCTTAAAGTACCGCGTTTTAATATCAGTAAATTAAAGTTCACCAAAAATCATTAAACTTTTGCCAAGGAAGTATTTTGATTATTCGAGTGGAACTATTTAAAAACACTCTTTTATATAAGCGCCATCGCAAACTTTAAAAAGGAACGATTTAAAATAAGAAAATAATAGCCTCATTCATAAAAAATAAAGTAACTTTACAAAAGTTTTGAAAATTGAAAAATGTATGAAAACGAAAATTTATAAAGCTTTTAAACTACTTTATTTTTTATGAAACCGTTGAAGAAACCGTTCTTAATTTTATGAAATGTTTACTTCAATTTATTGAAAGTACTTCTTCTTGATTTTATGTGACGTCTTTTTAAATTCATTTTAAATTCATATTATTAAATACAATATTGCCGTTCAGTATGTCCCGGGATTGTTTTTTTCTTTAATTTTCTTTCATTTAGGTAACTTAATAAAAATCTAAAGAATTCCTTCCTGATTTCATTGAAATGATAATCCTACTAAAAGTAAGAAGGCATTATTCTTGAAGAAAACCCATTGAGATATTTTTAAACTCCATTATTCCTATTTTCTTTTCTTAAGGGTCAAAATGGTAGGAAATTATACATTGGTACAGGCGAATGACAGT